GCTGGGGAATTCTGGGAGTTGAAGTCCACACATCTTCAAGCGGTCAAGGTTGAGAAACACTACTGTAGACAAAAGCTTTGCTAAAAATGCTTTTGCTTCAACCACAATGGATTCCAGCAATGTGCAAATGGCTTTATTCAAAATTCTACAAAGTATTATGGGAATGAAGCAATGCTGTTTGCTTTAAGATGGGGCCTCTGACTGAAAATTAATTGCAGAGCAGTTCCCTGTCTAAAATACCAAACAAAACCATGCTTTCATTATTATTCTTGGAGTTACCCATATTATTATGAACATCAGCAGACTGAATTGCAAACAGCAATCGTTTCTTAAATGACTGAAATATAAAAGGCTGGTATATTAAACTGGGGGAAAAGATTATCCCACATTATATGATGGGGCAAGAACACCATTCTTAAAGATGTCACTATGATGCACTGCATGCAGGGCAAGATGATAAAAATAGGAAATTATTGGAGTGACTTAACTAGACCATAAAAGAATTAAACAGATAATAAGAGAGGAAGAGGGAGAGTCAGTTTAGTGTAGTGGTTAAAGGCACCAGCCTAGAAGCTGGGAGATCATGAGTTCTAGTTTTGCCTTAGGCACAAAACTGGTTGACTCACTCTCTCTCATCCCTAGGAAGGAGAAGGCCAGGGCAACCCGCTTCCAAAAATACTGCCAGGAAAACTGAGGGACTTGCCCAGGCAGTCATCAGGAGTCAACATGGATTCAGGCACACACATAAAAAAGAGAGAAAGAAAGAAAAGGAATTAAGCCCACTAGGCTGAAGGCAGATGCTCCACAGCTGGTGAAGTACCATTCTTCCATTGTGTGTGTGGACTTCTTTTTCTTCTCTTGAACGTTCCAAGTTCTGAACAGAAAGCCCAAGGTTCTGTTAAAAAGGAGAAGATGGAAGATGGGATTTTGCTGTGTGAAAGTCACCATGTACTTGTTTTTCTTCTTCAACCACCTTTTCTTCATCTTGGGTGCGCTGATGGTTGGGTTTGGAACCTGGATTTTGGTTGACCGAAAGTCCTTCATGCCCATTCTGCAGAACTCAGTGCCAACGTTCCAGGCTGGGGTCTGCGTCTTCATTGGAGTCGGCGCCATCACAATGGTGCTGGGCTTGCTGGGCTGCTTAGGGGCCCTCTGTGGCATCCAGTGTGTCCTTGGCTTATACGTCACAGGCCTGGTGCTCATTCTCGCAGCCCAGATCGCCGCTGGCCTGATTATCTCCTTCCAACAAAGCTCGCTAAAAGCAAGAATGCCTCAAGCGGTCGCTGATCTCTTCCAGACGTACGATCCTAGTGATGAAGTTAATCAGACCCTCGAGACTGCTTGGGACTTCGTTCAGTCCCAGCTGTCATGCTGCGGCTGGACCGGGCCAGAAAACTGGCAACTCAACAAAATCCTCTGGAACAGAAAGCTGGCGTTCTATCCGTGTTCTTGCAGCAACGAGACAGCGGACGCCTTGATAGGGACAGGCTTCTGCATTTTGGATACTGATTCTAACACGACCACAGTGGCTGACTGGCCCGTTAAGAAGCAGGGGTGCCAGACAGTTGTGGAGAACTGGTTACAGGATAACTTTGACATCTTTCTTGGGGTCTGCATAGGAGTTGCTATCACGGAGTTATTGGGAATAGGGCTTTCTATTTGCCTCTGCAAAGGCAAAATATGCCAGTGCTGAGGACGACACCCAAGTGTAGGAACCTTGGAGCCTGGATGCTACCCACAAGGAAAGGGGCGACTGGTTTCCTTATTCCAGATGGTTCTTGGCAGTCCCTGTTGGAGCATCTAGCCAGACAAGTCTTCCTCTACTCATCGTGCTTCTTCCACCTTTACAGCCAATACTGCAAATGGATACAAAGGTGCCAAATGGCATTGCATTTAGGTGTTATTCACCACCAGAATAAGATTTAGGATGCTCTTTGCCCCTTTCTGACTCCCCTTTAGCTCTGTTCATCACCCCTTCCTTCAATGCAATTTGGGGGATTAGGCTGGTGGGCTTCTTCTGGAAGTCCTGCTGCCAGAGACAGGCTCACCCCTTCTCCATTTATTCAGTCACTGCTGAAGCCTGACTTCTCAAATCTCCTGGAAAGTTTCTTCAATCTGGGATTGTATCATTTGCCATATTTCTCCAACCTCTTAAAAATAAAGTAACAACAGCACAAATTTGTTTCCCTTCCTGTTTGGTCTTTGGGGATAGCCATCAGATCAAAGGTTGGGTCAGCTTCAAAGGATGGCCTTGGATCACAGGGTGGAAGTGTCTGAAGTTTCATTTTTTTCTTCCTTCTCAGCTCTGCTAGGCTCCTTTTCCTGATTCTTGTTCCCTTGAAGGCAGTTTATTTTTTAATAGTAATTGTATTAAAAATTACAATTAAAAAGATAAAAACTAATAAACTAAATGCAGGAATAAAAAGAAAAAATAGTGCAGAAAAGAAAAAAATAGAAAAGAAAAAATAAGAATATAGTAAAGAAAAAGAAAAATATATAAAGAAAAGACTTTCCCCTTCATCACAACAAGTATAAACAATTTTAGTAACTTATCATCTTTTCTTAAAATACAACAAATGATCTCTTCTCTCCATATCTCATCTCTTATCTATAAACAAATCCTTAAAGCCTTGTCTTTCAGTCCTAGTCAGCAAAAGTCCATGAAGGGTTACCAGAGATAATGACATATACATTTTAATCTTGATCAAATAAACCAACTTTACATTCTTTCCTTTTACTTTTAACAATCTTGATCTTTAGTCCCTTAAAATAATGTCCTAGAATTTGATTTCTTTTCATTTTTTTCTTTGTCCCTTCT